TATCATGTTCAACACGATCGTCTACTTCCTCGCCAATCTCCGCCGCGAACCAGGAGCATTCTTCTTCTTCGTTTTCACGGTTTTCCTCATTCTCCTCATCATGTCGGGCGTGTACCGTACCATGGCCTCGATCGCGCGCACGTCCGACCAGGCGCTAGTGCCAGTTGCTCTCATCACCATGGGCGTCATGGTCTACACTGGTTTCACAATCCCTGTAGACTATATGCCCGGCTGGTCGAGGTGGATGAACTACATCAATCCTCTTGCCTACGGCTTTGAGGCACTCCTGGCGAATGAATATCACGGACGCGAATTTCCTTGTGCAAGCATCGCGCCTGCTGGTCCCGGCTACGATGACCTTTCCCTGGCTAACCGAACCTGCACTGTCGTTGGCGCAGTGCCGGGTGATTCCATGGTCTCCGGCGACCGCTATATTGAGATCAGTTTCGGATACTACAATGCCCACAAGTGGAGGTACATCGCTTGATCCTATGCTATGCGAATGAATACTGACATCATACAGGAATATCGGTATCCTTTTCGGCTTCTTGATCTTCTTCTTTTGCACCTATGTCTTCGCTGCCGAGTACGCCAAACCTCCTGTCAACAAGGGTGAGGTTCTTTTGTATCGTCGGGGCAAAGTCCCTGCTTTATCCAAGAAACTCGGGCAGAAGGACGAGGAGAGCCAAACGCCTTCGCGGCCCATCAATGAAAAGCCTACGGCTGAGGCGAAAAGCGATGATCTAGAGAAGGAGAAGAGGCCCAGCCCAAGCACTTGCGGAAAGCCCATTTTCCATTGGGAAGATGTCTGCTATGACGTCAAGATCAAAGGAAATGACCGTCGCATTCTTGACCACGTTGACGGATGGGTGCAGCCTGGCGTGGTCACAGCCTTGATGGTACGTCAATCGTGTCCACGGTTGTGAATGTTACTGACAACCCACAGGGCTCGTCTGGAGCGGGAAAGACCACCCTCCTAGATGCTCTCGCCACTCGCGTCACAATGGGTGTGCTCACTGGCGACACTCTCGTCAATGGAAAACCGACGGACATGTCCTTCCCTCACCGCGTAGGCTACGTTCAGCAGCAGGACCTTCACATGAACACTATGACCGTGAGAGAAGCCCTGGAGTTCAGTGCAGTCTTGCGTCAGAGCGCTGAGATTCCTCGCGCCGAGAAACTTGCGTATGTCGACGAAGTGATTAAGACCCTGGAGATGGAGGCCTTTGTCGATGCTGTCATTGGTGTACCAGGTGAGGGCCTGAACGTGGAACAGCGCAAGCGGTTGACAATCGGTGTCGAGTTAGCTGCCCGTCCTCAGCTGCTTGTCTTCCTTGACGAACCGACCTCCGGTCTCGACTCTCAAACATCTTGGGCCATCTGCGACCTCATTGAACGACTGGCCAAGAGTGGCCAGGCTGTCCTCTGCACCATCCACCAGCCGTCTGCCATGCTTTTCTCGCGCTTTGACAGACTTCTTCTTCTGCAGCCAGGTGGAAGAACTGTCTACTTCGGAGGTAATGCTCGTTGCCCTTTCGTGTTTCGGGCTACATATTGACATCTTTCAGACATTGGTGCCGGCTCCCGCACGATGATTGAATACCTCGAGAGAAATGGCGCGCCGCCTTGCCCTCCAGCCGAGAACCCGGCGGAATGGATGCTGAAGGTTACGCTTCCTTCGACTGACGGACCCGATTGGTTTAGCATCTGGCACAACTCCCCTGAGTATCGCGAAACCAAGGCTGAGCTGCAGCGTCTGCGAGACGGAAACACCTCGGTCGAGCGCAGCGCTGCGAAGATTTGGCCTCGAACATAATGAATTCGTCGCCTCGTTCTGGACCCAGTTCCGCGAGGCCTGCTCCGGTGTTTAAGCATTTCTGGAGGTCGCCATCTTACCTGTGGCCGAAGATTGCTGTCACTGGCCTCCTCGTAAGTGGCTTGAACCAACCTCAAACTGTAAATGCGTGCTGACGCGTCCAAGGCTCTCTACATCGGATTCAGCTTCACATCCAGCAATAGTCTTCAAGGGCTCCAGAATCAGCTCTACGCGTTCTTCATGGCCTTCCTCATTTTTAACCCCTTCAACAAGCAGATCATGCCCATGTTTGTACCGCAGCGTGCACTGTACGAAGTTCGCGAGCGCCCTTCCAAAATCTACCGCTGGTCTGCCTTCATGCTCTCCAACGTTGTCGTCGAGTTCGTCTGGAACACCGCCGCCGCTGTTCTCTTCTTCTTCTGCTGGTATTATCCCGCTCGCTTCTTCAAAAACACCACCTCAGACGACGTCACAATCCGCGGCTTCACCACGTTCCTCTTCATTTGGCAGCTCTTCCTCTGGATCTCGACCGTCTCGCAGTTCGTCATCGCTGCCATTGAGCACGCTGACCTGGCCAGCGTGCCCGCAGCGCTCATCTGCATCATGGCCCTCTGCTTTTGCGGCATCGGCACCGTGCGCTCGACACTCCCCGCGATCTGGGCCGATTTCATGTACCGCGTCAGCCCCATGACCTACCTCGCCAGCGGCGCGCTGTCCGCCGCTCTCCACGGAGCCAAGGTTGTCTGTAGGCCCGAAGAGGTTGTGCGCATCCCTGCCCAGGCGGCCATGAGCTGCGCCGAGTTCCTGGAACCATACAGTCAGCGCTTCAGTGGATACCTGGTTGATGTCAGCGATGACAGCGTGTGCGGATGGTGCCCGATGAGCACGACCGACGACTACCTTGCCACCTTCGAGATCAGCTTCGGTGACCGGTGGAGGAACTTTGGCATTGGGTGGGTATTCATTCTCTTCAACATTGCAGCGGCCTGCGGCCTGTACTGGCTGTTCCGCGTGCCCCGGGGTCAGGGTATCAAGAGGAAGTAAAGTAGGCGTCCACGTGGGGGTGAAAGATGCAGAAAAGGCTCTTTGAGACTTCAGACGGTAAGAGAGATACATATCTGGAATACTAATGGGTTAGACTTTTTTTTTGGAAGTAATCTAGAAGGGACTGCTTGTTCTTTGTTTTATTTCCTTCTTCGCGGGCCTGTCAGTAGGAGACTTTAGAAGCTGTCGGAGGAGACCATGCCTCCTCTTACGTGCATCAATATCATTGCGTTCTACTCAAAGCAAGATGACTCGCGTCGTTTGATCCGTCTCATTTTACGACTTACCGCAGGCGAGATTACTTGTATCACTGACGATATTTCTTCGATCCGGCATTCTGTTCCATGGCTGCCACGGTCTGTCTACTTCGCGCACACTACATGGGCAGGTCCACCGATCTTGATCCTCAGGCTACACCCCAAACATCGACACGCCTCCGACTCGCCACCAGCCTTCACCCATAACATGGCGTACCTCAGGCAGAACGACCCTCGGACGACCCTTAAGCGAGCTTGGCACGCGCGCTACGTGGGTAGATATAAATCTCGTGATGCCACTGAGGATGCTGTTCCTTTGGGTTTCCTACATCGTCACATACGTTGTACTTTCGTGATGACCCAGTCCATCCCACTCTCCATCCTCGCTCCTGCATCGATTGTCATCCACTTGACCCATTCCGAAAGAGCATCGTCTTGATCGTTCCCTGCTACCGTGCTGTCACTGAGACCCTCTACGCGTGAGTTTTCATGTGACACTCTCTATGCTGACTAGCCCCCGCTTTCTGGGAAGGTGTGGTTTCCATTGTTTACTGACGATCTTTCTGAAAGTCAACGACTGATGCTCCAGATTGAGGATCGCAACGATTCGATTGCTTCCTTCGCCTGTCTTCGCGTCCGTAATCCGTGGTCCCGAAGAAACTAGTCCACAGTCGCCCGTTTATAGTGACGTCCGAACTGGAGATGAGGCTCAAAACCTTCCTGTGGGCTCATAGAGCCAACGATCATGCCGAGAATGGCGATGAAACGACATCCATCGACGGCCGACGCATACTCTATGCTGACCCCCGGGTCTTTCCACGAGTGCTGAATCTGCTTTCACCTTTTCGCAAGTTCAAGCCGCTTACCCGCCGTCGAGGCCAAGATGGTCGCCGGGCGCCCTTGACTATGTCTGTGATCTACGTGTCCATCGACGCGAAGCCGTATGACTGCGCGTTCGACTGGGCGAATGCCGGTGACTAGAAGTTGACCGGCAACTCCGAAGAATGCCATAGGCCTGCAAGACACAACGGGGAGGAAAGTCGTAATGGGGCGAAGCGCACCAACACCTCCGCCGTCCAGAAATGTGAGGACCATACTGCTGTTCCTGGAAACTGCCCTCGTACCCACAGAGCGAGCGAAGGATCTGCTGCCTTCATAAGCCTTGAAGTTATTCATCCTGGCGAATCAGACCGAGCGGGCGACGGCCAGACACAGACCCGTAGCCGCAAGGCCTCGGACGAGGACACCATCAAGCTTCACGACCGAGTCTTCTCGCCCGGACAGAGCCGCTCTTCTTCGTGGGAAACTTGGCTTGATGTCGCTGTGCATCGAGAGACTGACAGTGAAAACCATGTGTCGCACCACCGTGCCCGCTCCGTCTCAGTCAACTCCAACGGAACCATCGTTCGGTACGGCGAGGACAACAGTCTCAAGGTTGACGTTCACTGCTGCGAGTCCACTGATGCCACCCCGGAATCCCCTCGCTCTGTCAAGAATGATTGTATCAGTCCTTCTTCCCAGAATGGTATGCATGGTCGGGTCTCAAGCATGGAAGAGCTCACGCAGAGCTATCTCCTCGAATCTTGCCGTGAGGGAACTGGCAGCACGACATATGAGTTTGACCTCGTCGGTGAGATTGATGTTCGTAACTGTCATGAGGCGGTTCTCGACGCCGATGAATATCGCAGTCAGGCAATCATTCAGAAGATCCATGCCGATATGGCCGATGGAGTGATCTCGCGCGTTCAGGCGAGCAAAGAGGACGAGCGCGGCGAGGGTGAAGATTCATGCGACACAGTTTCTGCGGATTGCGACCTCGAGGTTGCCATCAGAAAGTCGGTCTCTGCTTACCTTGAGTCTCCCGAGGCAAATCTCCCCCGCCAAGTCGAGCTCATGAACAATGAGGATGAACTCGACTTGGAAGAGGAGCAATACCACCACCACCTGAAGAGCACCATGGACTCTTATATCACAGACGAGGACCATAGCCGGTCTGAATACTCAAGCCAGGAAGAACTCCAAACACCTGGAACATTAGGAGACATGGTTGGGAATGTTTTCAAAGTTGGAGACTGCGGCAGTCCTCACCAAGGTAATTGTTACCAGACTGATCTGTCCCCCATTCCCGAGTTCCCAACCCCATCACCAAGCCCTGCTCGTCCTCGTCGCCAAGGCCCGACTAGAGCACCGCAGCGCTTCTCCTTGAACGAAGAAACTTTCCACGAATGGACCGTAGACACTAAAGACCTGCACCTTGTCCCTTCTTCGCTCAAGAGCCCTCTGTTGCGCCCGCCACCGATCCCTCCTCGCGGATCCTCTCGCACACTGACAACCCCTGGTCGATTAAGCGACTTGTCTGGACTCCTACACCAGTTTCACGCGTCTCCAAGTCCCGATCAACCGTCGACTCCAGAGCAGGAGCGTTCTTACTTTGACTTTGAGGACTCGCCCTGCTCCGACGGCCGTTTCTTCGCAGCGTCGTCCGGAGCACGCAATCTCATCAGGGGCTTGAAGACGTTGTTCCAGCAGGAGACCGAGACTATGCGGCGACCGGCTGCGGCCCCGACTCTTCGACGTATTGTTCGTCGTTTCTTCTCCAAGCGTGAGCCCGACGACGCAGGAACTAACACTAGCCCGGCCCCGAACGAGGCCGTGGCTCATATTCGCTCTACGGTCGACACCGATTATACGGACTACAGCACCCACTACCCCGTGCTCACTACCACATGTTCGACTGGAGCATCTGAGGGTTTGCAGCTTGTATCTTGCCCTGGCTTGTCACTTGGCCAGTCCCAGGTTGTCCGAGTATTCGAGTCTCCGCCTCCGACTCTCAACTTGGAGAATGTGGCGAACCGCTGCCGCGAATCTTGGGCCTCTACGGTTCACTGTGTCGACCACCCACCCGGGACGACCTCGTGCGTTTTCGAAGAGAGTGCGCCTGCGGGCTGGTTCTGAGGGGCGCACAGTAGCGTGTGAACCAGGCGTGACCTACTTTCGGTGCTGCCCAAGCTCACCCGGCGTGCCTTCGCCCGGTATCGGGAACATCATCTTTTGGTAAAACGGCCCCCAGCTCTGATGTACATTCCTGGTGCATTGTGTGGTATTTGTAACAGTGGCTATGATTTTTAATACCTGACGAATGAAGCTCAGGGATGTATGGATTTCTGGAAGTGAACTCTTTTGTTAAAGAATGGGCCAGAGACGATGCCTCAGGGGCAGACAGTGTTTGTAAACACCTCTTGTGGTGATGTGCAATCCCTGGACACGACAGTACTGGGAGGATGATTCTCAGCGACTTGGTAGCCACAAATGCGACGACGTTGAGCAATGTCATAAAGCACCCGTAGGATACATCGAGGAGCCAGGGCCAACACGACTGTGCGACACAAGTAGAGGTTGTGATGGCATGGTCCGTTGTCACTTCACCATTTGGTATTCTTGGCTTGACACGAATGTACGGTTCATCTCAATACTATGACGTCCAGTTGCCTCGACTTCCTCAGGGGTCATCACAATCGACAGCGGGATGCGGCGGGAATCGTGTCGTCCGTAGTATGTCATCATTGAAGGCGCTCCCTGACATAAGCATGGAAAGCCGATGTGCCGTTCGTCAAGGGCTGTCGCGGGATCACAAGATCCGCTGTCCGAGGTAAGAAATCCGAGCTGCCAGAGGTCGCCAACGATTCAAATGCATACCTGCGATCGCCAGTACAGCAGACCTCCTGTTGGTGGCCTTTCCCCACCCCGAGTGATCTGTCCGGATCAATATCCCAGATCCGGGGTCGCCAATGGCGATCGTCCTCGGGTTCAGTAGACATCGGGCGAGAGAAGCACGACAAACGCGCTTCGAATGAATCAATGTCGGCACACCGATCACGTTGCACGCGCTCGTCTGCGCACTTTTTCAAGCGATTTCCGAGCACGAAGGACCACAGCGTATGCCAACTACCAGATGCCACCCCCTTTCGTCGTATGCATGAAACGGTGATCAGCAGTGGTTACCCCTCGGCAACGGGGTTCATGTCCGCTGCCCATGACGAGAAGGAACCCTGACGAACACTGCCGGTCGTCGCCGCAAGGGTCACACAACTTAAGAAGGCAGTGTATGCCACAGCGTCGAGGCTCGCTGTCCGGTTTCTTCACTCGAGGATCCACATAGCCCGTTGAGAGAGCCCCAGATGAAGTATTCCGCTTACCTCGCCCTCATTCCCTCGGCGCTTGCCTCGGTGGTTCCCCGCCAGGATCCTTGCCAGGCTTCAGCCGACGGCTTCGCATCTCTCAACGGTGGCACCACTGGCGGTGCCGGCGGGACGGTCGTCACGGTCTCAACGCTGGCCGATCTCGAAAAGTATGCAGCCGCCGCAGGCCCTCATGTAATCAAAGTCGAGGGCCGTATCCCTGTTGTGCCCTTCGGCAAGGAAGTCAGCGTTTCAAGCGACAAGACGATTGTCGGCGTTGGAGAGGACGCAGAGATCTTCCAAGGTAGGCTACGGGTCATCGGCGTCGGGTTTCACAGGAACTTGCTGACTGATGTCTAGGCGGCTTCAGACTGATAAAAGTCAGCAATGTGATTATCCGAAACTTGATCATCGGTACGTGACGGTAGCTTTCGACCTTTTTGAGAGGAAATCCCAACTGACCTTGGTGATCAAAGGCCACTCCAGCGACGGCACCGACAACGATTACGATGGAATCCAGTCAGACACATCATCGAATATCTGGATTGATCATTGTCTGTATCC